TGCACTGAATGTAAGGTGTTATAAACAGTAACTAACATGTAACTTCATGCTGTTCTTTAGTCTCAGAGGTCAACAGCAATGTTCTGCCCAGATGTGTTCATCTCAGGCCTTCAAAAGGGCACCTGGCTGCACAGGAGAAGGCACACATACAATCATGTCTGTGAACACAACACTCGGTCTGTGCTTTGTAGGGGGTGAGAACACATTCCTACAATAACACCCTTAGAAATAAAAAAAAAAATCCACAGGGGTTGAGAGTTGGAGAAGCAGACAGAAAAACACACAGGGTGAGAGACAAAGAGAGTGAAAATGTATGTGTGTTTCAAGGCCATAAACATTAGAACAAATATTTTTAAAATGATAATATCCTGGAGTGTGCTGCTCTCATTTCTGTGGTGACTTCTTCCCTTTGTTGCCATCAGTGCCCCAGATCTACAAAAACACAGACATGACCCCAGAGGAAGCTTTCTGTCTTATAACCTCAAAGCCAAAGCTTTTAGGTGTGTCTTTATGTTTAAATAGGTCACGTTTTTTGATTGAGGGAAACGTCTCTTGAAAACCAGTTGAAAGAACTAAACAAAAGACAGAAACTGCTAGAGGTGGGATTACTCTGAGCATAGAGGATGAGGACTGCCTGTGAGTGAGTGAGTGAGTGAGTGAGTGAGTGAGTGAGTGAGTGAGTGAGTGAGTGAGTGAGTGAGTGTGTGTGTGTGTGTGTGTTTGAGCATGCGTGTTTCAGTTAAGATCAAGTTCTCCCAGTAAGGAATCTGTCAAGTTGTTACTACAGCTAAGCCTTGCACCACAGTTTCTGCAGGCCACTCTTTTGCCATTACCATTACCATCAGCATACAAATTGAATTAACAGCAAAGTGGTGAGGGATGCCTAATTGGATTATGATTGTTAATAGCTCTCTACCTTTCATGTAACAGGAAATATAAGTAGACAGAATGACTCTGAGACAGAAAAGTAGAGGAGAAAAGAAGCCTTCTGGGATGCAGAACTTGAAAATCCACAGCCACGATGGAGGATAGAGCAGGGATTGTTCAGGGAAACACACCTGCTCCACGCCTTTGAAGACAAGATGAAAGCATGTCCTCTAATTACAGCACTTCGAAACAACACGAATGTCAATGCCTTACTCCTCTGGCCTGCAAGGTGTGTGGAGCAAAAAAAGAAAAATCCCCTCTCACTGTCGCACAACCCCACCCCTCTTTTGTTTGTCATAGCTCACATTACTGCCACACTTGTGAAGAAGTGAGCAACAAAGTTGTGTGTTTTTCTGCTGTGCGATGAAGCACGTACTGTATCTCATATTTGCTCCTGCGTGCAGTTAGATGGCGAAATGAATCTCAGTTTTGCCTAACAGGCTGGGACAGGGGAGGAGAGAGGGCAGTGAGAAATCCCAAACGGGCCCCTCTTTTCTTGTAACACAATGGCTCTGGCTGCTTTGTTTAGCTTTAAATGCATTTTTAACAGTTAAATGGATTCATAAATCATGTGCGGTCATGTTTAATGAAATGCCAGTCTGATAGAATTAATTAGATGGCCACTTATGATGAATAATATGAATATGTGCATTCCTGACAAGAGAAGAGATTCTCAATCAGATTCAATCTTATTCTCAATCTGTGCCGAAATGATGCAACACTGCTTTGCAATGATGCATGTATAAGGACCTAAATGCTCCTGTCCCTGCAACACTGAACTCTAGAAATCCCCAATCCCCAACTCGTGCCATTTACCACCAGTACAACGGAACAATGCATAAGAATTTCATCTTTTATTCACCAGGGCACTCATAATGAATTAAACAGACATTATCTAAGAGTCTGTAAATTGCAGGTTAGATAACATGTAAATCTCTATCTAAGATGATTTGTTGTAGCTTAAACTGTGCTGAACTATCTTTTAAATGCCAAGAGTAAGTCTATTAATATGAGAGTAGTGAGGACTGTATGGCCTTTTTGAAATCAGTGAACAGCAACAGTTGGGAAGCTGCTACACCCTGTGGATTTATGACAGAACTGCAAGACTTTAAGGTTAGGAACAAGGCTTATGTGCTGATATGCTGATGATATCTCTTTGAAGTCTATTCAGTGATCAGGTTTTTTTATTTAGCTGTCTCTAAATAAAAAAAGACCGTTACAGGACAGGTTCACATTTTTTCACTACTAGTGCTCATATGTAGATAAACAGAGTTGGGAGTCGTTGCTCTTGTCCTTACTGGCCCTGCAGAGGAAGCAATATGCTTTGTATTAAATGCGAAAATGTATTCTAGCATTTTTGCACAGAACAAAAACTGTGGATTTTGTCTGAGGAGGAATGATTAGTACAACCAAAAACTGTTTTAATATTCATATGGGCATGAGAGTGTTGTATTAAAATAGACTGAAAAAATGTCAACCTATCCTTTACGCCTCTGTGAGCTCTTCTGGTTGAGGATATTATAAAGCTTGCGTGATTACATTACCCTCGTTGACTTCTCTGCCTGAGAAACTCAGATTAGCTCGGTCAGTATTTAAGTAACTTCTCAAAGTACATGTCCATAAAATGATGTCATTCTATCTCAAATCTGCACATGTATTTTGTGTGATTTTGATTAATTTGACGTGTTTTTATTTTTATATATTTAATCATTGTAAGAACCAACCTCTCTTTGTTTATCAGGGGTCAGCTGCTCCACTTTTGGCTGTGATCATTTCCTCGACTAAGGTTTCACAATGAAAATATCTGAAACTGGAGGCTGGGACTATGGGGCAATCAAAGCTATTAAATACCTCACTATCAGCTTAATGCTGGGTTAATTTCAAAATGGAGGGGAGCAAATGGACTGTGAAATATGTGCTAATGGTAACAAGCTTTCTCTAAGTTTACAGAAGGAGACAGGGAGAGGGGAAGAGAGAGAGACCATATAATGCCCCGTTCTGTTATCACAGAGTCTACACATATAATTTCACAGTGTTGTGGAGTCAGAATTCAGAGACAAGGACAATTAAACCGCTGACTGCAAAGGGACAGGCTGGTATAATGCTGTGTTACAAAGTTCACAGAAAGACTAAGTTCACTGAAAGTATACAGTTTAAAAATACAGCTCACATCAGACGAACAAATCTCTACCTCTGTGCCATCAAAGAGCAGTATGAAAACATGTTTGTAGTTAAGACAATGTGAGATGTGCTATTTGCAGAAATTTTTTTTTACAAATATCATTTTATTTAGAAGAAATTTGGCTGGATAAATATTCAACAAGAGTGAAACACCTCTTCACTCGGGCCACCCACCCACATGGTATACATAGAGTGGAGCCTAACTTATTGCACATGTGAGGTGCACACAGTATTATACCATGTTTACAGTCTCCTGTGTAAAGCTCTAAAGCAGATTAGTAAGCTAAATAGTTCAGTGGTTGGACTAATATGTCTTGGTTCGCCATGCACAACTTCCTTACTTCAAAGCCTCCTTGATTAATGAACAGAGGAACTCAACGTAAAGTTTCAAAACAAAACCGGCTTCAACACCGAGATGGAACTTGATGTTTTGAGCCACAATGTGTCAGTCGTTCTCCTCAAAGCAAATGTCGTTTCATTGTTTTATAAAGACAAAGCTGCCTTGGGACAGTTGAGCGCCCAATCACACAGCAACTTCATGTTAAGCATTTCAGATTGCTACACTGTTGTTAGGCCAAAATGATTTACTGTTGTAGCGTGGCCAACTAATCAGCTTACATAATGTAAAATACAAATGGGTTTTTCATAAATTACTATGACTCAACTAAAGCTCTAATCTCAAAAATGGAAAGTTTTTGCACACTTTGTTGGGCAATAAATCCAATCAAGAGCAGGAGGGCCAGAAAATCTGACATTCCAAGATGGAACTAAACCATTTATAATGGAGAGTGAGAAACACACCATGCTGTATTGTATTTTCACAGATGACATTCTGACATGTCACTGTAGGAAAAGGAACAAGAGTAATCAATAAATTTAATGATACTCTGTCAGGGCTTACTGGGACTGTAAGTGTTATTAGTAACATCTGTGCTTTTTCTACTATGACACGTTAAAATGTCTGTTGAGAAAAGGACCTTCTGCAAACAGAAATGGGATCATGGGAAATTATGGTTTTTGTTGAGAGTGGCTGCATTTCAAAAGGGGATCCATAACACTAAATGTCAACTAGAAACAATCCAGTTGAGTTCACAGTGCAGTGAGAGGAGAGAAAGCAACACCAGCCCTTACTTTAGGACTGCAGAGACACGAGATCTCAAATATGCCTGTTTTTCACATAAGTTTGGTTAAGAGGTTTCCTAGGAACATTCGTGTCATCATTTCTAACCACCTTGAGCATTTGTGGAAAAGACATAGCTCGCAGAATGAGGTGAGAACCGTAGAGATCCTCTTGATGGATGAGGAGTACACAAGACAAGGCAGCTGGATGTCAGAGGCAGAGCTGAAACACACATTTAAAGTGGTGTCACGAGACATACGCATTTGAGCAAAGCTGTCGTTAGCTCACCAAGTGAGTGAGATCAACCACTGTGTACGTATGCCACAAACAAGCAAAGATAACAAAACAGAGGATTAACTAAAAGCTTTAATTTAAAGTCAAACACATAGAATATTAACTTTTAAAAATGGAGATATGCATCATGAAATATATGAATCCAAGGGCTATCATAAATAAATTTGGGAATATTTTGGCTTTCATGCAAGCATGCACTTCACCTGACCAAAATGCCATTCTCCAACTGTAGCCCCTTCTCTTTCTCAAAGGAGGATAAAATGACCCTGTATATAACAAGTGAAAAATAATCCAGGAAATACAAAAGGAGCAGTAAAGAAAAATCAAAAGGCTACGCTATATGCTATCTGGTATTCGGGACAATAATCAGATATTATGTGGCCTAAACAATATTCCATTCATTATCAGTGCTGAGTCAGCATTTATAAACTTAAAAGAAAGACCACTGGGTGCTGTATCCTTGTCCTTCCATAGAGTCTCTTTCAAAAAGTCCAAAGACATTTATAAATTCTCAAATGGTCAAGAAGCTCCTGCTCAAGCTCAGATCCTTTGCAGACAAGTCTCTCATAAGGTGCGTAACTCCTTTTCACACCCATCCAGATCCACAGCACTTTGTTTGTATAATGCTGCTTCCTCTCAGGAGAGGTGGAACAGGCTGTAGCCGACCTGTGAGGCGTACATGGCCAGATGTGCGGCGGGGAGAATGGGGCTGCGGCCGTATGAGCAGCCCAGTCCGTAGAGTGCTGCTGAACCAGCCTGCAGGTCAACACTGAGGGGGAAACTTAAGGACGAGAAGCCTGGGTGCAATACAGTCTTGGGTCCAACAACAGCTGCTATTTTGAGTTTCTCCACCTCGGCCTCCTGGAGCCTCTTGGCCTTAGCTCGTCGGTTTTGGAACCAGATCTTGACCTGAGTCTCAGACAGTGACAGGGAGGAGGAGAACTCGGCCCGCTCGGCGATGGACAGGTACTGTTTCTGACGAAACTTCCTCTCCAGGGCCAGGAGCTGCGTGGTGGTGAAGGGAGTGCGAGGCTTGCGGTTGGTTTTGTGTTTCCTCAGGGAGCAGGCTGCTGGACTGAGCTGCCCTGGAGGACATGAGGAAAATGTGAAGCTAAAATTTGGCAGAGTTGGATGTACATTTAAATTGTAACGTAATGGGCTGAAACAATTAGTTGGTTATGCAGTTAATCAACTGACAAAAGAAAAACAATTTTGATAATTAATTCAAAGCTAAACCTTCCATGTTTGCTGCTTCTCAAAATGTTTGTTATGCCGTTTTCCATTTCATATCAAAGTAAACTATTATCTTGGGGTTTTGGACAGGTAATGAACAAACAAAATGACAAATCGATTCATTATAAATAAATAAAAAACAATCTTATTTAAAAAGAAGATTTTTTACTGAAAGAAAGAGAAAAAAATAGCAAAAAATATTTAAAACATTTGATTAGTATTAGAATTTCTTAAAATAGTTATTGTTCTGCCTGTCATATATTCCTTTACTGAAAATTTATACAACTGTAATGATTTATTCGTTTATTAGACTTATGTCTATTTCCTTAAATTTATCAGCTATAAACTTAGACCCAGAAATGAACAGAGATTTTTCCAACTTTTAGCATCTAAAACGTGGCAGATTGGATCCTAGGGTGATGAAAGGCCCCAAAGACATAAAACGATTATATAAACCAGTATTTAAATCCGTTTTGATAAATAATTCAAGACAAACCCCGGAACACTTACGGGGTGGTGTGGACATCTTCATGGGGCGGGATATCCAAGACGCACTGTCCTCTTGTTCCGACGGTTCGGATTTGATGGATATTAATTGTTGGGAAAACTCAACCGGTCTTTTCGTCTGATCGTCATTCAAAGCGTCATTTCCCTTCTGTCGGTCCAGCGTATTCAGCGGTCTCCTGTCCGACATGAGCGCCTCCACGCTGAAGGGCAGGGAGGACACCTGCGCCGTGCGCTTTTTCGGCCGCGGTGGCTGAACATCTTCGTCGGTGGAAAACTCATCTCTCCAGTCTCCGGTGGAATACATGCTTTCTTTGGTGGGTTCGATATCTAATTCCAGTCCAGAAAGCACATAACTTTCTGTCTCGCAGTGCAAACATACAGAGTCCACACGGAGAGAAACTCGGAGTAACTTGCCCCAAGTTGTTGCAAAGTTGACAAAGTTGGAGCTGGAGAAACTTTGGGTGGCACTAGGGACTTTCAGCCAATGATTCGTCCTGATCCCGGGGTTGGGGGAAGACTTGTGATTGGACCGTGTGTTTGGGGTGCTCTGGACGCGATTCCTGTGGTGCCACACCCCCAACAAGACAGCAGGTCAGCTATACATCAGCCTCATTTAGCAGTAATTACACAGGGAGAAGATTGTTTCTTGAAAATAGCTCACTAGGTTGTATCATAATTACTGAGAGCAACAAACTGAATTTTATTTCCTCTGCAAAATGCAAACCCAATGTTTCACACTGAAAGCACAGGAAAATAGTTTTGATGCTCTGGAGGAGAATTTTGAATGAGATTGAGGCCTGAGGGTATTTTGTGGGGAAACCTACTAATATATGCAAATCAATCCCCTTTCTGTTAAACTCTCTCCCATCCTACAATTAGGCTGGTGGATTAACCTGACTGTGGCTGCTGAGCATCGGCAGCAGCAGGATGAAAAGCATCAGTGTGACATCTGAAGAGCTGTATTTACTCTTAACAAAAGGCTGACGGAGCTCCTTATTCAAGCCCTAACTCGCAGGACCAATTGTGGTAGTAATCACAATAGTAATCAATAAGCATCATGGTGCTTTTAAATTTCAGACATCACTGTACAGCAAGCAAACACTTAACTGTGAGAGTCAGTTGGGAGATGGATTAGGGTTTTGGGCAGGCCTTAAAATGACTGTCATTACATTGTTATTATTAACACCTTGTAATTAGGTCTGTGGAATCCGGTTCTTTTAACCAGGATTTAACGGTAATGACAGAAAATTGCTACCTTCCTGAGGTGTGTGGCGCCCGCTGCGATTAGTCCCAGTCTCTGCTCTGTCAGTGGAGACAGGGGCGTCTCGTGCCTGTTTGAAGCTCATACCTGTAGGGCTCTGGAGTATTAGGAAACATCATGAGAAGTGAAACAGCAGCTCTGCCCTTCCTAAACACTGCCTCTAACTACTCACTGATGGGAGTCATCACTGAAGGCAATGCAGCGTCTTGAACACCAGACAAAAAGCGCATGGATGTTAGATGAATAGCAGAAGGTTTCATGTCATTCTGAGTGAGATTTAGAGTTCAGTCAGGCAAAGAGAGACATGCACAGCTGCTGATGCAAAATTAATGTGCTCATTGCATGTGCCCCGTAGTCTGCTCCCGAGTTGCTCATATACTCTGTTTCCTTGTCTGTCTTTCTCTCATGTACAGATGCCCACACGCACAAAGGCCACCTGTGAAGTGACTGGAGAGTGCTGTCCAGAGCTCTGTGATCAGCCCTCAGAGAGTCTGTGCGCTCTCTGTAATCAGCGGGATTACAGTGGCAGCAGGGGCTCGACTCCCCAGTGCCTCAACATCATTAGTCTCCATCTGAAGCAAAGTGCTCACACACCATGAGCTCACTTTCATGTAAACACATGCAAATCAATTAAGGGGCCTCTCTGTCATTTCACTGTGCTCCCTACAGATAGGTTTATAGAGTGCACAGACACATGGAGCGTGAGCGTGAGCGTGTACGTTTGACATTTAAAAAAAAAAGTGAAGAGTTCATGAGATCAAGACTTATTGGCAACATTCAGCCGCGAGCTGATAACAACAACTACATTTCTGTAGAATCCAGTTTGCTGGAAAATCTCTGAGGCCGTAGGTAGATAAATGGTGGTGATAAGGTTTGAAAAGGATGAAACTATAAATAGTTATAATTTTTTGTAAATCAGATTTTTCACATTGCCTTTTTAATTTGTATTTAAGACCATATCATCAGGTTGCATATTATGTTCTTGAACATTTTTTTAACTTTCTAATTATGCATATTGTTATGGTTTGCGATGACGGACATTTTATGTTTGAGTTTTTGTTATGTTTGCACTTTTAGTTTGATCATTTCCTGTTTTATTTTGTAGTTATTTTCCTTGTGTCTCTTGATGTCTCGACTTCCTGTCTTTGTCCTGTTTCCCTCCTTGTCGATTGTCTGCCCCGCCCTAATGTGTTTCACCTATGTTCATTCACCCTTGCCTCCCTTGTGTCTATCTAGTCTCTGTGCTCCCCTTTGTCTGTCAGTTCGTCTGTTCGAGTCCCCCGTGCCTCAGTTTCTGTTTAAACTCCATTGTTTTGTCTTGTTCAAGTTCCCTGTGTTCCCTGCTACCTGTTTGAGTCCCTCGTGTTACCGGTTCAAGTTACTTGTGTTACCTTGTGCTTCGGGTTCCTGTTTGAAGTCCCCTGTGTTGCATCATGCTTCAGCTTCCTGATCAGTTGGTTCACCAGTTTTGTAAATTCTTCTGTTTATTAAACATTTTTCACCTACTCCCTTGTTGCATTTGGGTCCAGCCTGTTCACTAATTAGCATAAATGCATTGACTTCTTATTCTAGAGTAAAACATTTTGTATCATTGCATTTTACCACTCAATACTGGGACAGGCTATGGGAAAATACCACGAAAAACTACATGGAAAAATATTGCTTTGCCTGAATGAGCACATATAATTCAAACTTCTCAGAAGCATAGTCTTATTAGAGTGTCATTCATAGAATAAGAGTATTGACATGTTTGCACATTAGCTAGTCTAGTTAGTTGCAAATAGCCAGAGGTAGCCTCATTTTTAAATAATCTGAGGCCGATCCAGCAGTGCATAACAAGCCCCCTATAATCTGCCACCAGTGTAATCTGTCTTTGTCATCCTTCCTTTCCAACTAAGACCAATGGGCTCCCTGCTGTCCACTTGGTGGGCGGGGGGACACAGAGCTGGTGCAATCTGACCAGCCAACCAAAGGTTACAAAGTCAGTGTCTCTGTATGGGGCAGGGCACCAGCGGACCAGAGAGCCAACATCCTCAGCTCCAAACACCAATTAGCACTGCTTTTTCTTTCCGCTTCACTTCACCTGCATTAGTTCTGCTGGCAACAGTGTGGGGTATTATGTTACACACACATTCACAAATGTGCTTAAGATTGTTGTTATTGTCAAAGTCAAAACAAAGCCCACAAACATCTTATAGTCTAACTCAGGGAGGAGACTTGTTTTGAATCAATCTATCAATACTATTAAAAACCACAATCATGTGCTAAATATTCCTGCATATAAAATCTTGGTCTCCACAACCTGGTGTCTTATAAAGGGAATGGTCATATGAGGCAAAAACAAAGAATTTAAAAAATGAGGTTTGCTTCCACTTCAGCCATGGTGTTGTCTCCAGGACATGCAGCATCATGTTGAAAACAGAGTGCAACACACTACTACACACAACAACCCACAGACTTTTTCACTGTAGCCATCATAGGCCAATCAAGACCGAATCAATATTTCATCTGGAGACAGGCAAAATAAACTACCCATCAAAAAAAAGAAAGGCACAACCACGGACAACTTCAAGATAACTGATGTTTAATGTCATAAGTATAGGCTAGGATGGATTCCAGTGAAAAGTAAAATGAGCTCTTAAGATGTTTTTCCCAAATCTAAGGAGAGGAGTTTATTTGGGGTGCATTTCGGCCTGCATGCCTTCAAATGAGTTCTGTGTTATAAAGCTGACACCCACCACTCCCAGAACTGTTTGTTTACTGAAGCACAGTGGTTAGAGTGCACTTTTTTAAACTGCAGTCCTGCTCTACATATTAACGTGTATGACCGTATACAGCGTCTCCATCGCAGTCAAGAGCACAAAAAACCATCATAAAATCAACCTCAGGGGGCACCACTGATTTGACTTAAGGTTTAAACAATGTTGCAATTTGTATTCTGTCAGTGATTCGTGGTGGGAACTGATTAGGCTTTTGTAAATATAATTTTTCCAGACTTAGCCAAGAAAATGAAAATTGAGCTACAGAGCATTACAATGAAACTGAGGTAATAAAAGTATGCACAGCACAAGTAGCCTAATTATGCTATTTTTTTTTTTGTTTTGAAGTAATTCAGCATAACATGGTTATTAAATGCAAGTATAATGAATGCATAAGACATTACGTCTTGCCATTAGTAAGGATAAAGGGGAAACCAGCTTCAATCTGAAAGGGTAATTACGTCCTGGGATGCTAGAGGTAGTCAGACGTGTTTTCTCATTATTGCTACTTCAGGCCCTTCAGTCAATGCAATCATTACTTCATGGTTAGTTGATGGATCTTTCAGCAGCTTCATTGTGTTTCCACCCACTGTTGTTTGTAGCAAGTCTCTTCATAATATTAAAAAAGCAGCAACAAATTAGACTAAACTCCTGTCTCATAAAAGCACTGGAGTTACATTAAATCCCAATCTCACCACAACAAATCACATTTATGGTAATTTGCAATATGCATGTGATACAGTACCTTTCTGGTGGATTGTCTGGTATAAATTGATAGTCTGATAGCCAAGTTAAACTTTTTCACTTTGACTCACATTTACAGTAAAAAGCAAACCACAAAAAAAAAACTCAGTAATATGATATCACAAATTTCTCATTCCTAAAAATAAGATGCAGCTTCATAAAGTCACATTTATGCATCTTCAGACCACATCAACAACTGCAAAAATTAGTCATCACCATCAGCACGGAGTGAAAGTGACTCCTTGGATCACCTGGTTCTAGGTAACAGGTAAAACGTCACCTTGACAAAACTATCCTGCCATTTTTTGTCATAGCCTCCGGAGAAGATTTCCCAAATGATAGAGTCCATTCACAGCTCTAAAGCATCAATATATAAATCCAACAATAACTATAATCACCGATATAGAGGAATCTGTGTTGTACCCTGGTAGGAAAAGTGTTATTTGTGATCTACTGGCTGCTAAGAACATAAAATAAGATGTACCTTTGTTGATCCCCAGTAGAGGAAACTCAAAAATTGACACAGCAGCACAAAAGTGT